AGAGGATGCATATTTTCTACGAAATTTCTCAAACATTCAGGCTGGTAAATGTAATTAATACTGTTTAATTAAAGAACAAAGCATTTACTCAAAAAGTGTATCCATAAAAAAATAACATTTAAACAGAAAATTTATAGTGTGTCTGTGTGTGGCAGAGTATGTAATTTGAACAATCATGGATTTATGGTGATTCTTCTTGAAATTATAAAAGATATCCTCCATAAGGGTTGTATGTCCGAAGAAGGCTGTAGAATGGATTGGCTGAAATACTGTGGTAACAACCATATCAGCATCAAGAATGAGTTTAATAGTCTGAAAAACTTTTGGAGTGATTAATGATTCTTCTTGGAATTATAAATGATATCTTTCACATGGTTTGTATAGCTGAAGAAGGCCATAGAATTGATTGGCTGAAATGTTGTGATAAAAGCAAAATCGGCATCAAGAATCTTCTGAACAATTCTTGGAGTGGTAATGATTCTCCTTGAAATTATAAAAGATATCTTCCATTAGGGTTGTATATCTGAAGAAGGCTGTAAAATAGATTTGCTGAAATGCTGTCATAACAACCATATCAGCATTAAGAATGAGTTTAATAGTCTAAACAACTCTTGGAATGATAATGATTCTCTTTGAAATTATAAAAGATATCTTCCATAAGGGTTGTATATCTGAAGAAGGCTGTTGAGTGGATTGGCTGAAATATTGTCTAAGAGCAAAATCTGCATGAAGAATAAATTTAATCATCAGAACAATTCTTTGAATGATAATGACTTTGATAATTACAGAAGCAATATTCTGTACCAATTTTATACTTATATAATGGGTTGATAGAATAGATCTTGGAATAAGATGAATGGTTGCAATCCTCTCAAATATGCAGAGAATAATAATGACTCTTTGCTAAATTAGAGAAGTTATCTGAAAAAAATGAAGCCTGTTGTTCTTGGAAGGCATTGCTTATAAGATTATTTCTCATTGGGTGTGGCCCCATTGTTGGCTTTAGCTTTATACCATCTGGCCTCGCAACCTATGTCTAGTATTCTACTTATTGAATGCGTCATGTAAATTAATTTAAAAAAGAAAGAAAAGTTCTTTCACTTTTGGAGGTGTGGGGTGGTAGCTGGTAAATGTTTGCTTGTTATTTTAACCAGCTTTCCTGAAAGATCAAAGTAGAGTGAAGTATTTGAGTCATATGAAAGATGAAGCCATTTTGTATTCATGGGTGGTGTTCTCCCCCTCACTCTTGTTGACATTTTTCTTTTGGTGTAGGAGGAGTGGATAGCAATGAAAAGTATCCTTTTATCAGTTATTCATGGAATGTCTATTTTAAATCTGATAATTTGCTGAAAATATTAAAGAGCAGCAGCAAAGACAGAATTGGGTTGTCTGCAAGATAAACGGTATTTTTCTGCCCCATAATCTCTTTCTATACTAAGAGATGACAGAAAATGATCTTGTGATATAATGCTTGCCATCATCACCAAGCAGACCTCCTGAATGTTCACCTACCATGATGAATGGTCCTTCTCTCAAGAAGGCTTCTTGTCTTGAATGTCTGTTGGAAATATAGCTCTCTCCAGATCTCAAATAAAAATCATATCCGAACCATTGCTAAAGATACTGTTAAAAAAAAAAAAAAAAGAAAAGAAAAGAAAGTTGGTTCATTGTACCACTCCAGTCACTATCTGACACTCTGCTAGAACCTACAAAAGCCAGATCAGACCAAAAATGGAGTATTGCTGTCATATCTGGGCTGGAACGGCTCAATCCTGAATCTTACTACCAGACTCTATGCTTACAAGAGTCAGATTAAACCAAAAATACTATTTTTTTATTTTTTTTTATTTATTTATTTATTTATTTTTACAGTGGTGTTCAACCTGTACAAGGCCTGAGAGCCACTGTAGGTAGAGGGTTACCTGTCTTGATAGACTTGAAAAGCGTCTATGTGACATTGTAGGTGATGAATTATTAAAGGCCCTTTTCCCCCCACAGACAAAATGTTGTGAACCTCTCACTGCTCTATTGTTATTTCCATGACATGCGTTCTGCTGAGCTACATTCCTTAGACCCACTGCCCTTTACAAATTGGACACACCATGTATGCAGGTGGTTCAGTAGGAGGAAGGACATGCTTGTAAAATTCAATACAACCAAAGCCAACAAGCAGACTCCTGAACTTTCACTTTCATAATGGATGGGTGTTCTCTCAAGGAGTGTCCTTGTCTTGAACGTCTCTTGTATATGCTTCATCATTAAAGATGCTAGAAAAATGGTCAGTCCCTTGTGAGGCTCTATTATCTGAAAGGCACCTTCCTGCCTCCTGTCAGCATAGTTGAAACTAACCCCCATGAGGGGGAATTGATTGAACCTTCTCAGTCTGACATGAAGTGGAAAGACTATATTGAATCTATTACTAGGTCTGCTGTTAAGAAAGTTGATTCATTGTGTCATGCTAGACAGTTTTTTTTTTGTCCTGGATTTATCTTGCATATTTATAAATCTACCATTCATTCATGCTTTCCATATTGCTGCCACATATGGTCTGGTGTTCCTGTTATAGATTTAGAGATTTGTGATAAAATCCAAAGAAGAATTGGCAATATTATTAATCCTGACCTGGTATCTCAGCTTCAGTCACTTTCCTACCACTGTAATGTAGCCTCTCTGTGCCTTTTCTATAAATGATTTCCTGGTAGTTATTCTCATGAACTCTTTGCTATGGTAACTAGGCTTTATAAATTTAAGATTGATAACAAGATCTCATCAATTTACAGTTGAAATGGCTAAATGTAATCTTAAGTTCTTTGCTAATAGTGTTTCTTTCTCACACTTCTTGCTTGTGAAACTCCTTTCTGGTTCCATGCATGCAAGCCAACTTTGACCTTTAAATATTCAAATGCAATATCAGTTGTTATCTACTGCCTTCCTGATTACTTTTCTGTTTTTCTTGCACCTTAATAATGTTTCTCTTTTTTTTTTTCTTAACATTCAGTAACCTTTTCTGTCTTATTGGTTTTACTACCTTGCATGGGGTGAAATTGGATAAATTAATAGGTTATAATTTACTTATTTTTAAACTGTTAGTTGTAACTTATATATTTTTAAAATACTATATACTATAAGCATTTCAGAACATTTGTACATTTGTACATAATTTTAAGTTATTTTTTTTTTTTTTTAATAAAGATAACTTCAAGAATTTGTAGGTTCTGCTTATTACTTTCTTAGCAAAGTATACAGGTATTGTCCACTAATATTCTAAATTGTGAATGTGGACAGGAATGTTTTTGTAGACATTGGGCAATGGATGATGAATCATTAAGTGTAGAGTGAACCTTCTGGATAATGTGATTGTAGTTAAACCAGCATATATATTAGCTTTTTTAATGTCTAAATTACAACTAACAGCTTAAAAATAAGTAAATTATAACCTATTAATTTATCCAATTTATTAACTAAATTACTGCCCTTATATTAAAATTATAAAATTGATGTTATGTTCACAAGCATATATGCATTTGTAATAATTCAAACACAAAGTATTTCTCTTACGACATAAATTTTTAAAATCAGTGTTTCTGATTTTGTGCATGACCTGAAATGTTAAGGGTTTAATCACAAAGGCAAAAACTTATTTCGAACAAACACAATTATGTGTCCCAGCCATCAAAACACTGACGATGATATTGGAAATATTAAAAGTACTCAGGGAAAAATAAAAATGAATAAATATATCCACAGTAGCTTTCTTGCTATCTTTTATCATGAAACAAGAATGCTTATACGTGATTACAAAAGGATCTTGTTGAAGATAAGTAAGCACATGTTTAAATTGTTTAATTGTACATGTTTAAATGAAATATATAAGCTTTCATCCTTGGCACCTTGACTGCATGGATGTTACTATATTGGCAACTAAGTCTCACCATTTCTGTGCTACCATATGTTCTATTCTAATAGTTTCTTTTCTTGCATATATCTGCTGTCTTCTACTATATATAATTTTCCCATATATATTTAGAAAGTATTGTGTTGTTCATGTATTTATGAAAAACATCCTTTATAAATAATAAATACACAAACAGCACAATTATTTTTAAAAATAGGAAATTAAAAACAAAAAATATCATGAAAAATAAGGAAAACAGCATCAGCCTACAACAATAAATACAAAACTGTAAAGTCTTTCTGGAGGAGAAAATATATAATGAGAGTATGATATAAATTTTTTGTCTTGTAGGACTTCATTGGACAAAATTTGTTACGTTGGTGTGATTGCATATGCACACAAAGAAGGGATACTGGGAATTATAATTTTATTTATTTATTTTTTTTTTTGTGTTATGGGTATATAATTTAGCTGATTTTATTTAGATTCTTTTTGTTTTCATCATTTCTGTTGTTAGATATCCCACACTGTAATAATAGAAATTCTGCTAGGGAATGGTGGAATGTTACAAGATTAACGTGGATGATCTTGTGATCAACGTGCTCTCTAAACATTTTTGTCTTGGTGAATTGTTTTCTCTTTTGATCAGTGTAGTATTTTGTATGTCAAAATTGTGGTCAATCTTGTGTGAGCAACTAATGCATTTGATGTATTATTTTGTAAAATGTCCCTTTTATGTTCATATGATCTATCTAGATTCGTGTGTGTTTGTGTGCGTCTTCTCATTATATATATTTTTTCTTTTCCATTTCTGAATTTCTCCCTGTAATTAAAAAAAAAATGTTTAGCCTTTTTTGGGATGGTCCATGATTTCCGTTTTTTTTTTTTTTTTTTTTTTTTTAAATGAAAAATATTTTGTTTACCTCTTATTTTTTTTGTCTTTTTATTCATGTCTTGTTTTTTTCTTTTTGCCATGTTTTGTCTGTTCATTTTAGATAACCCTTGTTTGAAGCATATAGCTGGCCATATTCCATGTAAAGCTGTATCTTCCACTGGTTTTGAACACTGCTTGACACTTTGAAATATCTCTTTTGTTTCTTTACAGCTTCTCTCCATCCTTGCTTTCATCTGTGCATCAGTTTATCCTAGTTATGCAGCAGCTGGCCTTGGATGGGTGCAGTTTGTGACAATTGTGACTTTTATTTGCTTCACAATTCTCTTTGTCCTGCGTTTCATGAACATCTATGGCAGGATACCAGCTCCCATGATAGTCATTGTAAGTAAACATTTTTTCTCTTTGCTGCCTACTATTCTTACCCAAGCAGAACAGCTTAAGAAGCATATTTTTGGCTGAAAATTTGTTTGTGTAAATACTAACTAGACATATAATTTTGAATCACTATTCTCATTTGCGTTTTTCTATGTGACGTTTCTCTTCAGAACCTGTGGGTGATCATATCTTCTCCAACAATGCCCAGTCCTTTGTAGCTCTTAATAATCCATTTTATTTTATTTATTTTTTTTTTTGCTTTCCTACCGAATCCCTTTTCTGCCAACTATTTACACAAGCTAGGTAGGTTACTCACTGCTTTCCTCTGTCCCTTTTGCCTTCAATATGTCCTGTGAGTGTCACATTCTCCAGGCCCTCTTTCCTCATTATGTACCCTAGAAATTTCAACTCTGATTCTAAGTATAAGTGTTATTTTTGTTTACATTCTCTTTTAAAACATCCTTGCTACATGATTGGTCCCTGGGATTCTCAGCATCCTTTTGTTGAACCACATTTTCATTACATAAAGTTTATTCTCTGAGAAGGTTGTTTAATATTCACTGCTACAGGACAAATATTACATAACAGTTTAGTATTCTTTTCTTTGTGTCTAACAAAATTTTCTTGTTTCTTAATATTTTGCTGAGCTTTTTGAAACATCTTTTGGTGTGCACAAAAAAACTGGGAAATAGTCCCTTGCACACTTGCATGGAAAATAAATACTCCAGCGAGATATAAAAAATGTGAATTCCAGTCTCCCATACATTCAGTTGAGATTCCCTTGCATGGTCTTTAGTTGACACAAGGGACAGTTGCCATATCATATAAACAGATAAGCTTTTCCCTTCAATCAGTGAGAAGTCTGACTTATCACTCCCCTGCGTATCTCTATATCATAATGAACAGCATTAAAACTACCTCAAGGGAGTGTCTGCACCGACCCCCGGGTCGTACCCGAAGGAAGGGAGGGTCTGCACCGACCCCCGGGTCGTACCCGAAGGGAGGGAGTGTCTGCACCGACCCCCGGGTCGTACCCGAAGGGAGGGAGTGTCTGCACCCGACCCCGGCATTACCGAAGGAGGGGTGTCTGACCGACCGGTCGCACCAAGGGGGGATCACACGACCCGGGTCGCATTACCAAGGAGGAGGTCTGCACTGATCCACATGTGGTCCAGTATTTTCAATCCCAACTGTCACTGTTTATATAAGCCTGCTAACAGAAATCCTCAGTTTTCATTTATATATCTATATATTTTCTTTTAATCAAGTGGGTGGCTCTCCTGGCAGCTTTCGAAACTGCTACCATATGTTCTATTCTATTAGTTTCTTTTCTTTCACATCTCTGCTGTCTTCTACTATATATAATTTTTAGATTTATTGTTTTTTTTGGCTGATGCATTTTAGAAGTTTGTTTCCATTATGCAAAACTTTTATAAATAATAAATACATGAATGTAATAACACTCTTTTTAAAAAACAGGGAAATTGAAAACAAAATACACTAAAATATCATGAAAAATAAGGAAACAGCATCAGCTTACAATCAACAACACAAACCAAAAGTCTTTCTTATATATATATATATATATATATATATATATATATTAATAATATTTTAAATAAATTAAAAAAAATTGTGTATTATATATATTTTGTATTATATATATTATGTTTATATATATTATAGGGTTATATATATATATTATTGTTATTTTATATATATATGTATATATATATATGTTATATATTATGTTATTATATATATGTATATATATATTATATGTAAAAATATAATATGTTATATATATATATTATAGGGTACATTTTTATATATTTTATTTGTTTTTATATATATGTTATATATATGTTTTATTATTTTGTATATATATTATATGTATATTATATATATTATATTATATATATATGTATATGTATATATATATTTTGTATATTATGTATATATATATATATTATTTTATATGTATATATTTTGTATATTATATATTATATGTATATATATGTATATGTATAAAATTTTATATATATTATATATATTATATGTATATATATATATTTTATATGTATGTATTTTTTAAAATTTAAAAATGTTTTTAGTTTAAAATAACTAAAGAGATCAAAATTTTGATTTTATTTTGGAAAGTTTTAAAAATATTTTCAATAAAATCTGGAGGATTTATGAAGATTTTACCCCATCTAAAGACGGTAAATTTTTTTAGCCCCTGGTTTCTTTAATTTTTCCCCTTTTAAGAGTTTGGGATCCCTGGGTGCTACCACATAAAATTTTGGAACCTAATAGAAATTCTTTTCATTTTCTT